CACTTTATAAAGTCTAGCTTCATAAGTCAAATGAAAGTAAAATGAAATACGAAGAAATATAAGATCTCTTATATGTAGCGAGTATCAAATTTCTTGATTCCTAGATAATGCTACATGAAATCATTAGCAGAAGGTATGTGAAAACATGAATACGTCACTTTTTGTTGTTGTTGTTTTTTTTTTTTTTTTTATAGCCTCCATGTTCGCCGTAAGGATGGGGTTCCCGTATGAAGATTTGACTACCCCAAAATCTCTTTCGCTGTATTCGGAGTGGCTTAATCAGAGCTGCCAGCCAAACTACTGGCAGGTACAGGACAGGGTGGCCATGCAGCGGGGTTCGGAGAGGCAGTTGTGCAGCGTCGCCTCTTCCTTTCACAGTGAGATTGGGCTTCTTGTTAGGGTGGGAGCGGACACTTGTTTAACAGACAGGACGAACCTGGGACTGTCAAACGTAGGCTCAGAAACTGTGTGTGTCTTCCACGTTCTTTTTTTAAATCCTCCTGGGTTTAACGTTGCTGCAGTGGTGTTTTGGTTTTGGAGGGGCTTTTTTTTGTTGTTGTTGTTCTAAATGTGGGCAAACTAGACTAAGCAGTGAGTGTATTTTTTGATGCATGTATAAATTTCTAAAATGAAATTTCACAGTAGTAATTTAAAATAGTCTTTCTCCTACCTATAGTCTGAGTTGCTTTATGCAGATATGCAGACCTGTGAAGACATTAAATCAGTGTAGCCTGTTCATGTTAAATATGATTTTTTTTGAATTAGAATTGCAGGTTTCTACCTGTCTATGCATAGTTTTTGTTGCTTCTTACATCTGAAATGCTTTATTATTTAATCATTTTAATTCATTATTAATGTTTTTGTTGTTATTTGGGAAGATACTTAACTATGATGCTCATTTGTTTTTCCCTAAAATCTGTAACTGATTATATTTTATTCGTTCTGATGAAGAATATGAGTCTTTTTTGGACAGTCTGATGAGCAACAGAAAATCTTTAATTTGAACAGCCTAAATTCCTAATCATAGGAAAACCAATCCCCCAAATCAGTTGTCATTCTTTGAGCAAAGCATTCAAAGTTAGTATAGCTGTATAGTTTTAAGAATTGGGCATCTGCTGTTTAGGTAGTAGATCATGTGTATCATTTTGGAAATCTGTTTGTAATGAAGCATAATATATTGTTCTTGCTAATAATAAAATGATTACAGAATGTAGTACCAGACTCTTCAAAATCCTGTGGACCATATAAAAAGACTGAAAAAGTAATTCATAAAGAAGACTGGACCAGCTCCCAAAGAAGAATAAACATTCATAATCACGATACTATTGGTAAGAAATCTCATTAACTCTGATGTGATTTTTCTTATTTCTCTGTTAATTAAATTGGGCTGACTTTAATTAGAATTATTTTTATAGGCAATATTTCCTGTTTTATAGTGGTTTCAAGATTGCTATTTGTGCTTGTGATGGAATACCTATGAGCTCTTAGATAAAATGGGCTTTTCATTTGGGTTTTTTTTTTTCCTTACTTATTTTAAAGCATGCTGCCTCCACATCCACTTGCTGCATTTTGTGTTCATTGCCCTATTGCCTCCCCTTCAGATGGCCTGGCACAGATGTTTGGGCAGTTATGGGTCATTAGAAAAGTAAGAATGATTATTTTTAGTCTTGATATCTGAAATACGGCTAACTTGAGTTAAATCTCCCCAATAACTCTCAGCCCAACTTAAAAGAGTTTTGTAGAGGTTGGAGAAATGAGCACTGAGTGCTTGCCAAGGGAAATGTTTGTCTGTCTTTAAGCTTACAAAATAAACCGTAGTTCCCTTTGACTTCCATTCTGGCTTTTAACCATTTCTACAGAAACTGATAACCTTAAAACAGGTTAGCAGTAGTGATCTCAGAGACTTCTAAGAGCCTACTGATTAAGGACTATAATTGCTTAGTCTGTCTGCTAATTCATGGGCAGATCTGACAAAAACAGCAAACATTACAGGAGTGGAGCAGTTAGATTCGCATCTTTCAAAGCTTTCTATTCTTTTTCATCCTAAAACATACACTTTTTGTTTCAGGATAGATTCTTTTCAATTTAGCAATTCAGAACCTTTTCTTTGACTATTCTGGATATCAAGAATTAATAAGTCATTTCAAATTCTAGTTGTCTTTGCTTTTCCTATTACTGCTGATAGCAAATTAATGTTCTACAGAAGTCAGACTTACCAATTTTAAGAATTTTTCTTGGCTAGGATGTACAATTTTCAGTATGTTTTAGAAAGCTCAATAATTACAGTGTGTCAGAGAGGTTAATTTGCTAAATACAGTTCAGGAGTTGATGTATCATTAAGCATTCTTAAGCTGTTTTGTAGTATATATTGACATTTTCCTTATGCTCCTATTTTGTTCTCCTATCCCACTTCTATATATGTGAAACATCTCCTTGCCTAATTTTGGAAAGTGCCTCATTTAGCATGCATTTAGGAAGTTGGTAGGAACAGATGTCCTTCCAGCCTCCTTGCAGAGGCTGATGATAGCAGTAGAGCCAGCTTCAGCTTTTAGCTTCTGCTGATTAAAAACTGTTTTTTTTTTGAGGAGATGATACTGCTAAGTGTGATCAGAGAACCAGAATTCAACTTTCTGAATTCTGCTTTTTGGCTGTCAGTGTGTTCTGAAATTGCTGTCAGCAGCACTTGCTGCCCTGCCTTAAAAAGGGGGGAGTCTTGGCTGATGGAGCAGCAGCTGATCCCAGTTTATCTCCTCAGCATGAAATTACTGAGGGCTGGGCTCACCCACGGGCTCACCCACGTGTATGACTGTAGCTTTTTCCTTTGTCAGGCTGTATTTCAACTTCTGCCGAGGTTAAGCCTCTCTCTCTGATTTCAAAAACCCCCCCATCAACTTCAAGCACGGTTTATTAAATTTCCAGACTTGGTTGCTCTGATGGTAGCAATGCAGCCCTATGGATCCTACCTAGCTCTTTGTAAGGTCGCATAAGTGCATATCAAGAGGCATTGGCTTCTTGGAGAATGTAGTGTGCAACTGAGATTACTACCATGTTACTGGTTAAGAATTTGTTTTTAGACTCTTGCAATCCATTCAAAACTTTTCAAATATATTTTAGAAAGAACTTCAATAACCTGTTTTAAAGTATTTTGAATAGTCTGGATATCACAGTTCTAATTGATGAGAACTATGGTGTCAGCTTAACAAACATATCAGACATGCTTCTGAGTGTGTTTTATCCCTTATTGGGAATTTTAGGTATGATTGTGATTGGTGAAAGTGGAACCGTTGCTGCTGGAACATCTACTAATGGTGCAATCCACAAAATTCCCGGGTTAGTATGTGTGGTTTTAGAACAAAGCTTGGGATACTTGTGACAGTGTATGTGTTAGACTATGACTGTGACAAAATGACCTTGCTTATTTCGGGTTGCCATGAATCTGAGTACTGAAGGACTGGTTAAGCTAGAAAATGATTTGGCACAATGTTAAGGTAAGGCACTGGAGAGGAATGAGCATCTTGGAAAGGTGCTTAGTCTCCAAAGAAATGTATACAGAATCACAGCCTGTGGCTTATATATATATTTATTTATTTTTTAATCTTTGAGGTTTTTTTCCTCCATAGTCAGGAGTCTTGTCTGTCCACAAGTCAGATATCTTCTGGATTTAACAAGAATTATTGAAGATACCAGTGTCCTCAGCTACTGACTAAACTTTCCTGCGCTAGCTGGAGGAGTTAGTACATGTAAAAGAAGGTGTTTCTGGAGGTAGATTAAGCCTGGAGGTCAAGCAGGGTATCACAGAGTACTTTCATCAGTAGTATTAAGCCAAGACCTCTGACTAATAGTGACCTCCATACCTCTTCTGATCTCCTGTCTGTTTAACACAGCTGGAGGCAGTAAGGTTGGCCGACCTCCTTACCTCTTCTGATCTCCTGTCTAACACAGCTGGAGGCAGTAAGGTTGGCAAATCGGTGTCCAAATTATAAGAATTTGCCAGTACGTATTAGATGAAGAACTGCATTAATGCTACTCTACTGAAGTATATCCTAATTTTCTTCCATAGAATTAATTTATCTATATGTGTGCATAGGCACATACCTGCATATATATACTTAATATTTCTTTTCCTTGTTCCCTGCAGCCGTGTAGGAGACTCTCCAATAGCTGGAGCAGGGGCTTATGCTGATAGTACAGCTGGAGGAGCTGCAGCCACTGGAGACGGTGACATCATGATGCGCTTCTTACCCAGGTTTGTCCTTAGACCTTGCTGTCTTTCTCTAACCAAATGTGAACTGAGCAAATTAAGTAATTGAAAAGACAATGTGAAGTGCAGAAGTAGGGGGTAAAAAATGAATGAACGGGGGAAAAACAGCAGCGGAATGAAGTTGTCCCTGTAAGATGTCTTAAGAGAAACCAAGGACTTCAGTCACCCAGATATTTAAGAAACACTCCTCACCTCAATCCTGTCAACCTGGAAGTAAAGGGGTAATAGTAGTGAGTGTATTTCTAATCTGCATGGTCTTTAACAGAACAGACAGACTTCTTCCTCTTAAGTGTTTAGCTGTATGGGGAAGTATGTGTTACAAGCTGTGTGAGTGATCAGGAGGGAGTCCCGGCTTACTTGGGAAGTGGGTGGTGTAATAGTATCGCATTTTATGTAATTGGTGTCTGATTTGCATTAGGAAGAGAGATGTTGTAGTGCACGGTTGCCCAACCTGTATAAACTCTCTGTTTTCATTATTTTCCGAGTCTTGAAAGCCATCCTTGTGAGCTGTCTCAAGGAGAATGTATTATGGAAGTCCTTGCTGAACATAAGACACTGATGCTTGTAGGAAGTGTATTGGTTTGGAAACTCTGGCTCCTATAAATGCTTGCTAGCAAATGGATGTTCATAAGTGTTTAGTCCTCAGAGACTTTTTTCAAGCTATTCCAAGCCAGTCTCGAATTAAGAGGAAATTGCCTGTTAATATACTGTGACATTTGGGTAAAAGTTACTTACTATGCTTTTCCATTATTTGAAGAAATTGAGATCTCGATCGTATTTCCGCTGTGTATAACTTGAGGAAGGATAACTCTGGGTTTGGGGTTGTTTTGTTGTAGCTATCAAGCTGTGGAGTATATGAGAATGGGAACAGACCCAACAGCAGCCTGTCAGAAAGTTATTTCCAGAATCCAGAAGTATGCACCAAACTTCTTCGGTGCTGTTATATGTGCCAATACAACTGGAAGTTACGGTATGTATGTGCAGCTACAAACACCCTGACTCACAGAAATACAAAAGTGAAGGTGGATTCTGGAGCAACAGGCATTAATTATTAGTTAACCACTGCAACAGTGCTGTTACCCAGCACTTGCAACTATGGAGATCAGGGCTGTTGTTCTAGTGTGGGCTTAAAGTATTTTAATTATTCCTTTGTATTTTGATGCGTCAGACTTTCACAGAAATGTACATAAGCTTTAGTAAGAATCACAAATCCTTACAACCTTAATGTGTTGTCTTAGACTGTCTGTGATTAATTTGAAAGTTTAAAAACAAATGCCTGTGCCTCCCCTTGATACGGCATAAGCCAATGAGGCTGTGACAGCTCAGCGCAGCTTCAGAGCAGTCCAAGATCAGTCGCTGTGCCGGCATCTCATTAGTGAACTCTTAGATCAGTAGAAGATACAATTTGCTAATCAACACAGCTTATTGAATTAGACTGCCTTTTCCTGGATTTTGATCTTTTATTTCCCATAGTTCTGTGTTTGAGAGATTAGAGTTTGAGGAATTCATTATATTAATCAAGACTGAGATTTTTTTTTTCTAGCTTGTGTTAATATTTTGAATTACAAGAGCATTAATTGCACTGCAGCAGTAGTAGCCCTATATCTTTACTTCAAGATAAAACAGTTTTGAGACATCTTGAATTAGATTTTAAATGGGTAATTACACCATTGTGGTGTAATTAATGCCTATTTCTTTAGATGATAAAGTGCAATGATACAGATGTTAATCCTAAATGTAGGAAGTCTTACTTTTTTCTTTCTTTCCTAGGTGCTGCATGTAGTAAAACTCCAGGACTCACCCAATTTCACTTCATGGTTTATAGCCCTTCACTAAGTCAGCCATCTGAGCAAGTAGTAGATTGTATTTAATTGCTTTTGTACTAGTCACATCTAAACTTGGAAGGGTAAGAGCTAAAATTGCTGCTCAGGTGTTATTTTGCAAAATGGTTGTTCATTTTTACTGTTGTATAAACTGTTGGGCAAGTACAAACATATATTGAAGATGTACCTATTACTTCACTGTTTTTAGTGTGCTCTACTTCGTAATTGTTTTTGTATAGTGCCAGTAAACTTAATGTTTAGATTTTTATTCTAATTGGTTTGTAAAATTACTTTAAATGATTGTAGATTTTAATCAAGCATTGTATTTAAGCAGTGATTCTGTGCAGTTTTAGGGAAGTGAATATATCTGTACAGTTAGCAAGAATGTATCTGTACAATTAGCGAGTGCTTGTGCTTTTGCACTTAGCAAAGGGAATTGTTTTCTGCTTGAAGGTCAACATCTAAGTGAAGTGGCTGAAACTGATGCACCTTACTGCTCTTGCATGTGCTTGAGGTCACTTAAGTTGGGAATTCAGCAGACATTTAATTGTATCCCTGCTTAACCTTGAACAAATCTGAGAATCAAAGAGATAGGGAGCATCTGCTTGCTGGGCATGTCTAACCTGTGGGCATTTCTAACTTGTTTTGCAATGTCTGATTTCGTTTGTTTGTTTCTTTTAAGTGGGTAAGAAGACAGATGGAAATCTTTCCGTTGTCTTTTTTTTTTTCTGTAGTGGAAGATAATTATGAGTCTTAATTGCAGTAATCACTTCCTCACTGATGTGCAGTGTGCCTGCCCTTTCTGTACCATGCTAGCCCTGAAAAAGAACAATTGCATGTGTATAGTACGGCAGTTACCTAAAGCTAACAGAGGTATTTTTGTCACTTCCTCTTTTTGTGTCCAGAGATATCAGGGTTCACTTGCACTAAAATTTGAGTATTTTGATGATTGTTCTATATGCTTCTATATCCTTCTCTGACCTTGATTGCTGACCATTTGACTGAATTTTTTACTAAACTTGAAATAGCTAGTGAAACTTATAACAGGGGAGAGTAAAATGACTTTATCTTGTAAGAAATGCAAAGTATTTATTTGAATAAAATCACTGAGTAACAGAAGCACACTTCAGTGTATTCTTTATAACTAAGGTTGTTTCAGTGCTTGTACACTGTGCCTTATGATGATTGTTGCCTTGCGTTCTGAGCTGGTATGTTTAAGAGGTGTAAGAAGATTCTTGAGCTAGAATAGCCCTTTTTAGTGGCCCGTAGTTACACTTTGTCAAAGTTGTTTATTTGGAGGATTCACTGCTGTACCTGGATTTAAGATGATTTCATAGGACAGATTTCAGTGTAGGATTTTAAAATGTTAAGTGGGCTGCTGCTGGCTGACCTCACTTTTTCTGTGGCTTCTAACCAAATTACTGCTTCATCTAATATAGACAGAATTTAGAATCATAGAATGCTTAAGGTTGGAAGGGACCTCTAGAGATCATCTAGTCCAACCCCCCTGCACACTCAGGGTCACCTAGAGCACGTGGCACAGGACTGCGTCCAAGCGGGTTTGGAAGATCTCCAGAGAAGGAGACTCCACAACCTCTCTGGGCAGCCTGTTCCAATGCTCTGGCACCCTCACTGTTAAGAAATTTTTCCTTAAGTTCCAGTGGAATTGTTGGTGTTTCAATTTGAGGCCATTACCTCTAGTTCTGTCAGTGGTCACCAGTGAAAAGAGGCCAGCACCATCCTCCTCACTGCCTCCTTTGAGGTACTTACAGACACTGGTCAGGTCTCCTCTCAGCCTTCTCTTCTCCAGGCTGAACAGGCCCAGCTCCCTCAGCCTCTCCTCATAGGGCAGATGTTCCAGGCCCCTGATCATCCTTGTAGCCCTGCGCTGGACTCTCTCCAGCAGCTCCACATCCCTCTTGTACTGGGG